GAGACTAAGTACTGCAAGAGGCACATTGCAGTCCAGTATAGCAAACTTTAAATAGCAACATAGATTGTTGGCGAAGGTGAATCGCTGGGGCTGTCGGTGGCAGCAAAAAAAAAAGCCAAGTTCATGCTTTCATGCATACCCGGCAAAATGACTGTCCCTGTCCAAAATGACTCGGGTTGTATATCCTGAATATCTGCTACAGAGTGGTTGTCCAACTGGCAGGGAGGGGACAAAGCGATGGTTGAGAGTTCATTCTTCTTCGACTTGGCCACTCTTGCCATAGTTGTCGATGTCTCTTCAGCTTAGATCTTGAAGCTCTTTGTCAATTCTTTAGTTGGAGGCATAACACTGAAGAAATAGCAATAGAGAAATAAAAAAATTGTCAATAAAAATAAAACAATATCATAAACAAAGCAACTGGTATGTCAAAAAAAAGTTGCAAGAATGAACACACGTACCTGTAATTGAAAATAACCAAATATTATAAATAGAACATTTTTAATTTAGTAAGCCCAATAAGAACTAAATAGGTACAGTGCCTGTATATTGTAAAATAGATCCAGTCATTATCAATAATCCTATATAGCCTATAAATATTTCAAATGTGTCTCCCCATGTGGTGTATGAGTAAATGAGATGCACTATCACTATTACTAGTACTATTTTTAGTATAGTATTATGGTATGATTACAATTACAATTAATTATAGTATAGTGTAGCCTACCAGAAGTAAATCGTTAAACTATTATTAAAATATTTTAGTATTACTATATAATATGTACATTTAGTTTGTAATGAGAGTACAACAGGTCTAATGTTTGTAATACACAGTTCACGTGTGACTTGACTAAGTTTACTGACTCGGTCTAGCAGTGGCGTCCTAAGACTAGACCACAAAATTACCAATGAACGAAATAATAATACCGAATTCAATTATAAAAATATCATATACAAATTAATCTTACCTTATTTTATGAAATCAATTGAAAAATAATCAAATCCTAAAACAGTAAAGCAAATTTTCACTTCGAATCGACGAAAAAGACATTCTCTTTGTTTACACGTCGTCAGGGGAAAATGTGGAAGGTCACGGCTTCCGTATAGGAAAATGGCGGACATGGACCAATCAAAATGCAGAGAATTGTTTATAGCTACGAATTGGCCAATCATCTACTTTTGTGTACACGTGATACACATGGTTTTTACGTGAATGGTTATTTTTAGATAAATTAGTCATCGGAATGGCATTCTTTATGCGGTGATAAGCTTTCTAACGATACCAAACATGATAGAATCGAACCGGGGGTTTCCGCGCAATCAAGTGTTGAAGAATAGGTCATTTGGGGTTTGTTGTGAACAAAAACATAGACCCCCAACCCCTTCAAAGCACAATTATTATGTTAAAATTAATTAATTTCATAATTTTTACTTTATTTAATGATAATAAAGATATTAATCTAACAGAAAATCCAAGTTTTGAAGAATCAATATTTTTTTCAAATTTCCATTATTTTGTGACCTGTGGATCCCCTTAACTTTAGTCTTAGTACTTTTTGAGCTATGAATTTTTATAGTGCGAGTTCGTTTTGTTTGGTATTTTTTACTATAAAAAAAACCCTCCATATCTTGTGACCTCATTCCGCTGATCATGTACATTGACTATATAGTTTATAATATAAGGCAATTGTTACTAAAATTAAAATACTGTTTAGCGATTATAGTTATTTTGAATTTTCAATTTTGGCACATGACTAATTAATTAAGCTTTCTTCCATAACCAATGACAAATGGTTTATTATTAATAGTTTTTGCCCAGGGAAAACTTTTATGAATGAAATCCTGTGATAGGATACTACAGTATAGCCATTGTGCAAGTGTCTGTGAATGGCTGCCCATGACAACGTTTTGCACACAGCAAATTATGAAAATTTATTATGGGCTTTACCAGGATTTTTAACCTAAAATTAAAATATTATTCTTTAAATAACATTTAAGCTCATTCTAAAACATAAGTTATCAAATATTTTGATGTAAATAGTGGTAATTATTAAATATTTCCCAAGTATCGGCATCTTCCGCCATTAAAAAGGGGGCATGGCCTTTTAATAATGAAGTAATTTGACTTTAAAAATAAAGGCTCTATGAAAAAAAATAATTCTACTCCATTGTATTTATTTTGCTAAAACATGAGATTACTACGTAAAATTAAGTCTAAGTTAGGTTAGGGCCAAGGGGGCATCTATAAATAAATTCAGTGAGGTCATGCATCTATCTAGGGGGGAAGAGATGGTCACGATTTGTGATGATATATTATGAGAGTTTTTAAATTTTGTGTGTCATAAATAGTAGTGCGACATCATTTATGAATGGTCCCTTAAAATATTTAAACAGCTTTAATTTGCCTTTAGTTTAGGCTTTGGGGCTTTGGCTTTCCAAAGCTGAGGTGTGACCTCAGACTGAACTATGTCCAAGACTGGCCAGAAGCGCTCCTAACAGCGAATCATCAGTTTTCTTTTCACTGATAATAATCATATATGTTTTAATAATATAGGGGCAGGGCCAACAACCCGTACATTAGTTATCTGTCAGTGCTCCTACTTTTTAATTTTTAACTGATAACATTGTGGGTCGGTCCGTCAGAATCATTCTTATTTTAAATTTCTATAGAAACGTGGAACCCAGGTTGGGTAAGCATTTTCTTCTTCTATATTTTGAGGGCCCACGATCAATGTATTGATCATTCTGGCTCCTTTGTTTCAGAGGGGTTGGTGATGTTACTGTGCATGGTTTTGAAGGGGATACTTCACTGGTTGCAAGGGCTTCTCAGCAGTGCTATTATGAACTGGGGGTTGGAAGACGGGGGGCAGTATACAGAAATGTGTCAAGTGTAGTCACCTCAACTGTTTTTTTTGGAAGCTTGTTGCAGTCAGTTATTGTCTTTAGAAGGAATGAGGAACTCCTGTAGTGAGTTCTTGTTTTTATTAGCCGGAACTGCCTGTCGTCGTGGCCTCGTCCCTGTCTAGGGGGGAGATGTGGACTTTGCCGTTGTTATTTATAATGAACTGGGGGAGAGCATTTCAGTCTGGGCCCTGTGTAGCCTGGTTTTACATAAGTTCTAACTGCCTCATAAGGCTAGGAATTTTTTCTTATTACCTACCTTTGCTATACTTTCTGAATGGTCAACCATTCTGTTCATCTTGAAAGCAAAGTTTAAGAAAACAAAGAGACATGAATTTAATTAAATTTCTCAGAAACACTCATAACAGCAATACAATACTGTTGGGAGAGACAATGATACAATACTGTTCGGAGAAAAAAATGATACAATACTGTCGGGAGAGACAATGATACTATACTGTTGGCAGAGATACAATAATGATACAATACTGTTGGGAGAGACAATGATACAATACTGTTGGCAGAGACAATGATACAATACTGTTGGGAGAGACAATAATACAATACTGTTGGCAGAGACAATCATACAATACTGTTGGAAGAGACAATGATACAATACTGTTGGCAGAGATACACTAATGATACAATACTGTTGGGAGAGACAATGATACAATACTGTTGGCAGAGACAATGATACAATACTGTTGGCAGAGACAATGATACAATACTGTTGGGTGAGACATTGATACAATACTGTTGGCAGAGACAATCATACAATACTGTTGGGAGAGACAATGATACAATACTATTGGGAGAGACAATCATACAATACTGTTGGGAGAGACAATCATACAATACTGTTGGGAGAGACAATCATACAATACTGTTGGGAGAGACAGTGATCTTTAGTGCCATTTTAGCACCAGGGCATAGACACTAAGTTTCTATTAATTTTGTGACAGCTCTGCATCACTTCATTTTACAGACATTCCCTTAATGTCAATTTATTGACAGATAGACAATGCAAATGTATGAAATACTGCACTCATTTGTATGATCAAAAAGGTTCATTTTCAAATTTTAAAACAAATATAATACCATACATAACTTTAATAATTAAAAATAGAATACAATTAAAGTTAGCCTTTTAGCCCATTGAAATGATGAGCCAAACCACAATGATATTTCCACTGATCTAAATTATTCTTATATTTTTTTCCTCACACAGTTTGAGAGCCTGAATTATGGGTACTCTCCAACAGATGTCTATAAAAGGTTTTAGAACTTAAGAAAATACAGCACATACTCCTCACCAACCGCTATGAGCAAAGGAGACTCCAAAAAAGAAAAGTCCAGTTATAATTCTAGAAGGCGGCCCCCCAATTTCGATTCACCTGAAGACATCAGAAACAATGCTTCCTTTGTTTCACCTGGCCAGTCGGCATCGTCTATGCATAATGTGACGGCAGCTCATGCCCAGCCTTTCAGCCCTTGGTATGCGCCTAACTTTCACCAGCAAAACAACAACCATGTTGGCACCTTACACATCTACCCGGGTCACCAGATGTTCATGCAGCACGCACCGTTTGGAAATGAGAATAACCACTTCAGACCAGCAGGCTATCCACAACAATTTCCCGTGCAGCTTCGTCATCACTTAGATCGGCCAACTCCGGCTAAAGTTGTGAATGAATCAAGAGGAAACAACTTCAGTTATACATGTGATCGTGGACAGTGTGAAGAAATGCTGAATAATAACCATGAGTTCAGTGGCCCCAACAACAACAAGGATCGGGGCTTGAAGAATGAAAAGGCTCAAGGGGCAAGACCCAAGTCAAGTCCTTTTCAAAACGGTAAGAAAAAATTCATTAAAAACAGAAAGAACCGAAACAATTCTTCCAACATCTCGCCAATGGAAGGTGATTCAGAAATGGACAGCTCAAGTTGTAAATCAACTTCTCAGTATGAGCATTTAGATCCCATCAAAATGAATGGCAGCGTGTCATATGAGAAGCTTAGCGGTTCTCAAATGGAGAAAAGTGGTGTGTTAGAAAGGGATGGAACAGACTCTGCTGTTTTTGGAAGAGATCAGAAATCTACCAGTTCTGCTTTCAGCAATAACAGAGGTGAATTTATCAATGGTCTTGAAGTCGACTGCACGGAAGGTGCAGTGGGTGGTGAAGTTGGTAGGCTACAACATAATACAGCTAATGGTTCAGGGAAAGCACTGCCATCAACTGGGAATTCTTTTGATAAAAATTTGATAGACGAGGGTGCAATTTGTGATCTAGATAGAATGTTTCAGCATCAGGAGTTCTCATGTTATAATGGTGATGTGTATCAGTATGATGATGAATCTGGACTTGTTTGCAACCTGCCCGACACAGAGACAGAACTGTCACTTGACCGAGGCAATGGGTCTGATGAAGATTCAGAATTTGAGAATTGCTCATATGTATTTGATCCTAAACGCTTACATTCTGTAGCCAATGTTCACAGCTCTCTTAAAATCCCCAAAGATGGACTTGGCTTGCATGATTCAAATTTTCCCAGCATGTCAATGAGCCCAGGGAGTTTTGAATGCAGACCAAAGCCGTCAGATGTTTCATGTGAAAATCCAAGCCACAGAGCCACCCCCAGTGATGACTTGGAAGACACTGGAGATTTCATCGACGCCGACCTACCTTCACAGAAACATCTTTTATCTAGCTCCGATGAAATGGACAGCGATTCATCTAGCGCCGGTAGTGACAGAGAGGATGAGGATGGCAATTTGTGTATGGAACAAAGTAATCAACCGTTTCCCTATGACTTGAACTCAAATGATTTGTCAGAAGTCTCAAGCAACTTTGAATTGCTCGGTATAAATACAGAAGGTAAAGACTTCCAAGCCCTATCTAGTCAATTTAAAAAATTCAAAGACATTGGCAGAGCAACAATTTCCTGTACTAAAAATTCTTCAGACAAACCATCTGTAAAATCATGCCATAGCAGCAGCGAAAGTGAAAATGGTGATAGATCACCCCCAGGCTCCCCATCACGAATGTATGCCTATAGTAAACCGGAACCTCGGGCGTGTTACAGCACTTCGGGACCTTGCCTTGAAGGGGCAGCCGCCTCGCAGCTGTCGGTTGAAGGTGACCATGTCGTCGTAGACGATGCCTATAACTCGTGTCCTCCTGGTGCTGAAGGTGAGCTGCCTCCCCTGTCTTCCACTCAGTGCTTCCATTCTAACTTGTTCTGTAAGAGGGGCAGTGTCAGCCCGTGCGGACAAAATAATGGCAATCACAGCCCTGCCAGGGAGCACATCGCTTTCACGGCCAGCAGCGAGTCGGATCACGGTGGAGATTTCCGCCAGCACCCGAATCCTGAATCCGCATGCTGTTCTGTCATAGCTGATGGGGGTGCCTGCTGTCCCCCTGGCTACCAAGGGTCAGGGGTCAATGACTTAAATGCTTGCTGCCACCACAGTCACAGTCATGTAGCCAATGGTTTTAATGATGATAGCCCTGGTGCAAACTTCAGCAATGATGAGAGCAACAGGCTACAGAAAGTATTTGTCAAGTTTTCTAATGAGGATAAAGTTGATGAAAGGGAGTCCCATTCAGCTTCTTCTTGTGACCTGGTGGATGTAAGTTTTCATTGTTAAAAATCTGGGATATTAAATTTAAAAAAAAAAATAAATGTGAATGAAGTGTGTGTAAACTAATGATCCATTTTAGTGGTCATAATTTATTGAGGACTTTCATAACTGATCTGCAAAGACTCTAAATGTATTATCAGAAATAAGTGTCAGCACTGGCAAAGTCATCTTTTCTTAGGCGACATAATTTATAAATTTGTTTTTTTTAAATAACGCTCTCGGCTGTAAATTAGCTGGTGGTTAGTATATTCAACATTCTTAGACCTATATTGGTGTCTGGGTGAATTCATTAATTGGTATTATTGTTTTGTGAAAATCAACAACCAGTAGTAATCAATGTCAAAATGATAAACAGAAATGTAATTATTTTTTGAGATCCCTGAAAAGGATATTCATTTCATCACCATTTATATAACGCATATTCAGCATTTTGTCATCATTTATACAAAGCTTATTTAACATTTCATCATCATTATCTAAAGCTTATCCAGCATTTCATCATCATTTATATAAAGCTTTATCAGCATTTCATCATCATTGATATAAAGCTTATTAAGCATTTCACATCATTTATATAAAGCTCACTTATTCAGCCTTTCATCATCATTTATACAATGCTTTTTCAGCATTTTGTAGCTAAAACAAAATTATATCCCCGTCATATCATTAAAATCTGTATCATGTTTGACAAAGGAAATGTTTAAATACATGCTTTCATTTAGATATTTTTGTTCAAAGTGCTGCCCTCCACTATTAATGCATGCACGTACAAATGAAGTGCATCCCCTTGACCATGTTAGAAAGTTTATAATAAATAGTTGAATTTCTAATATAAATGCAATCCAATGACATAATGATCAACTTCAGGTTGATGGCTTGAGTATACTGGCAAGAAAGCAAGACAAGAGCAATGATAGTGGCGGTTCAGAAGATCCTCTCAGGTAATACCACTGGCTCTTGAGAAGGACTAAATCCATGGCCATTATTGTTTTAGTATTTGTGAAATTATTAATTTTTTCTTTTGTAGCAAGTTCAAGAAGAAGTATTTTATTTTATTTGCTGTTAGTGACCTGTCATCTACTTTAATAATTCAAACAGCATTTTCAAGCACGTACTATTTGAGTTTTGTATCACAAAAATTTACAAGACGTTGCTTACAATAACTTTTATAGGACTTTATGAGGGATGCTTTTGACTAATGGTGGGAGTGGGATATTTTTGCTTAATGCTGGGAGCATATAGAGACTACTAGTTAGCTTACTTACATTAAAAAAAAAATTAAATTTTTTTTTTTATCTCGTATATGTCTTGAAAAAATTGCAATTAGATATAGGTGGTTAGTACAAAAATACTTTTTGCCTTAAAAGGATAGTGGTTCATTGTCATTGCACACCCATGAATATTTGGAGATATTATATTATATTTAATAATTCACTACTTTGTAATTGGGATTTACTTTTTCTGCACCAGCCATGACAGTGGCGACAACGTTGACATGGTCTTGTTGCCAATGGAGGAAGAGATTGAACCCGTTCATCACCTCAGTGGACTTTGTGCAGGTGGGGTGGGCGATGACGATGATGTGTACCATGACTGCAATGGACAGCTGGCCACTCTGTCAAAGTTTGGTGGGAACAATGTGGGATATCTGTACGTTTTTTTTAAAATGTCTCTTCTTTCTGCATTCTAATATTAGGGTGTGTATTTTTGGAAATTTTGCCTGAGAAGGTTTCCATGTTTAAGAAAGCTCTTAACTGGTTCACCACCATAAGCCACTGGTAGGGCCAAACTTTCTTTCTATCGTGGCCATTGAGCCGCTGTGAGCGTCACAGTTTCTTTCATAGTTAAACCAGTGATCTATTTAAACTCTAACTTTTGCTTCGGTTTGAGATTTTAATTTACCAACAGGAAGATAATTAAATATCCTCATGGGACAGTCTGGATGTGAACAAAAAATGTATTTTTTGTCATATTTATAGTATTTTGAGGGTAGATTGCAAATATTTTTCATGGCAACTAGCGATGAGGTTACCAAGAGTAAATGTGCAGTAAATAAGGCCAAAGATATGTTTATTCTATTGCGGATTCATATATATATTTGAAAACCTTTTCTATTTTGGCGTAGATGTGATTACATGTATGATTAAAAGTGTAAATAATGATTAAATGTTTTTTGGAAATTCAAAACTTGAAGTTAAGTTGATACATTTTTAAAATCTTTGAATGCTTTTCTCTTGTTTCACTCAGTACTTTAATCTACCTGTTGAGACCTGATGGCAGTACTAGACAACATTTACTACCATAAACATTATATTGCATTTAAGTACTGTTTAGTACCCGTAGAAAACCAATTAGAAATAAATAAATATTTTGAGCTCATGTAGTTTTTCTTATCATTTCAGAAGTGATGAGCACCAGTATCTCTATTCACAAGATCAAAATCCATTAGGAAATGGCATGGTATGCAATCAAGTCACTTAAAGATAATTATGAAACCAGGAACGAAAGAGCTGCTCTTAGTTGAAAAAGTCATTGAAAAATTTTGAATAATCAAACATAGAGTCAGCCAACTGGCCCAAAAGTTCATATTAAATAAAGCTAATCTGTTTAAGAATTTAGACAAATGTCCATTGGATGGTCACATTTTAATAAAATAAAGCTAATCTGTTTAAGAATTTAGACAAATGTCCATTGGATGGTCACATATTAAATAAAGCTAATCTGTTTTAGAATCTAGAAAAATTTCCCTTGGATGGTTACATATTAAATAAAGCTTATCTGTTTTAGAACTTAGACAAACATCCATTGGATGGTCACATATTATATGTATTATGTTTCAGCCGAGTAAAGAGTTTTATGAGCTCATTAAAACAGTAAGCACCACAGATAGCTATATGAGGTTTTTTGATAAGGACGGACAAGATGTTCAGAGACAGGTGAATATTTTATTTTGTGGTCGGGTTGATTTGTATGTGAGCAAATATATTATGTGTTTAAGTGACCAGAGATTGAATTGTTTAACTGACCAGAAGTTGAATTGTTTAACTGACCACAGGTTGAATTGTTTAACTGACCACAGGTTGAATTGTTTAACTGACCAGAAGTTGAATTGTTTAACTGACCAGAGGTTGAATTAAAAATCTAAATGGCTTCCTCAACTTGAAAGTTGCTATTCTAACTCTATAAAATAGATTCTATACAATATATTCAGATCAATGTTTTTTGAAGAAATAAAATTACTGAAAACTAGAGAAATATTCCATGTCTGAAAGCATTATGATTTCTGCCGAAATTGTGTCTGGAAAGCAATATTTAATAAGAATATTGATTGTCGTCAGCTTCAAACTTCAATCATTGCTCTGAAGGTGCAGACCCTTGTCAATGCAACATGTAGATTTATAAGTAATAAATGCATGGAAGATGTCAACCTATGCACATTTAGTTATACTGGACAATTTAATCTGATCAGGTTGTCACCCGATTGCCCTGAAATAGCTCAGTTTAAAAAAAAAAAAGTAATATCAGTGATCCATCTCTCATTTGTCAAATTGTTGGTTGTGTTTTACCTTAGGAGACCCATTCATTGCTATCAGAGGTTTAAAAAAACAAACGAAGCAAACGGTGAAACAAAGCCCAGCACTTTGTCCCTCAGAAACACTACAGCAACCAGTGTTCTCAAACAGTCCATCAAAGAAGCAGCAGGAAATTGACCACCAACTTTATTTCCATTTAATATTGGTTTATCAAAAGTTCCAGACATTCTATTGGTAGCACAGTTTCTGGCTGGTAAATTCGAATTGTCCTTTGTACAGAATTGCTATTAAAATCTGGCACACAAATGGTCACTTATTTAGCGGTCTTGAAATATCTCTCCTGCTTTTACAAGTCAGCCAGTGCAAAAATCCGGATTTCTTCTTCTGTACATATACTATGTATTGTTAGCCTCGAGATCACAAGAAACCAATGGCCTCACTAGCAACTTCTTGACCGACGCCATATTGTCCACTAGACTTCAGAAAATAAATTTCTAGAGAGAAATAACTGTAAGACCGGACTTTATTTTTGTAGCTTAAGAATAAAAGTTTGTTTTTCTCATTGACTAATTGCAATGCAATAATTTCCTCAGCCGATTCTGTCATGTGACGATGATGACACAAAGGGAAAATCCTCTTCCGGCGGCCAGAGCTCAAAAACGGAACGTCTGAAAGTGGATCGGGTTATGATATGGAATGAATATGAAGCGTACGTCATGCAGTTTAAGCAAATTGCAGTTTCAGCCTGTGGGCAAACTGCAGTACTTAATGTCCTGGTGAGTACACACCTGTTTACTCTTACGATTTTGGCGTACAATGTACGATTTTGAGGTGTAAACATTATATATACTGTATGGTGTTTTTTTTACTATTAAGATAATGTATTGAACAATTTTGTGATGAAATTGTACGATTTTAAGAGTCTGAGGGTAAACAGGTCTGTGAGTAGCTCTCAAGTCAACATTTGAGTTGGTGAGTAGCTCTCAAGTCAACATTTGAGTTGGTGAGTAGCTCTCAAGTCAACATTTGAGTTGGTGAGTAGCTCTCAAGTCAACATTTGAGTTGGTGAGTAGCTCTCAAGTCAACATTTGAGTTGGTGAGTAGCTCTCAAGTCAACATTTGAGTTGGTGAGTAGCTCTCAAGTCAACATTTGAGTTGGTGAGTAGCTCTCAAGTCAACATTTGAGTTGGTGAGTAGTTCTCAAGTCAACATTTGAGTTGGTGAGTAGCTCTCAAGTCAACATTTGAGTTGGTGAGTAGCTCTCAAGTCAACATTTGAGTTGGTGAGTAGCTCTCAAGTCAACATTTGAGTTTTTTGCATTACAGCAATTTTTACAACAGAAATTCCCTTAGACTGTATTTGAACTTGAAATGCATTATCTCTGTCTGCATTACCTCGGTAATTTCAAACTGTCTTTGATAGGATATATTGGTCGTACATATCTAAAAACACAGACAGTTATAAACATAAAATAGAAATTTCACAAGAGTACTGAAATTTATATTTGAAAGGTAACGATACTTCCTATTTTTACATTGGCATAATACAATATTCAGCTAAGCAGGTACTTGAGTTACCACATTTCATGGACCGTAATTATGTTTACGAATGTAGCTTAAGGATGGCAAAGTCTTAAGAGCTCAGGAGCTTGTGTGAATGTAGCTTAAGTATGGCAAAGTCCTAAGATCTCTGGAGCTTGTGTGAATGTAGCCTAAGGATGGCAGAGTCCTAAGATCTCAGGAGCTTGTGTGGTCAGTTTAATAGTGAAATATGATCTAGACCACGAACTAATTCAAAAGTAAGTAAGCTCACGCACATAGTTTTCATGCTGAACTCTCCTCTCCTTGACAGAAAGCTTTGAAGTTTAACTCTGAGAAATCGTCAGTGTGTAAAGTGATCCAGACAAGTTTAAGGAAGGAAGACGCTTGTGTTCCTGAGTATCTGTTCTCCAGGGCCAGAGCAGGTAACACCATCTTTTTAACTGAGAAACCTTTAAGAAGTGGCCAGGTTTAATGTTAAAAACTTATTTGCAGAAGTTTGGCCAAAAAAATTCACTATTTAATTTTGAACATAATGTGAGCATATAGATGAGCTAATATTCTTTTAGTGATACAAATAAATGGAAACGTTTTTTTGATTACATTTGACATAGTCATTTCCATCCCATAAATAAAAACATATTTTAGCCAAGACAACATGTTACAATTATAACAGTTTAAACACAAAACATCTCAAGTATTTCTGTAGCGTAGGCATCAGCCATCAATGAACTCCTCCAGTGACAATGATGACTTAATTAGTGATCATTTAGATTCAGTGGAAGTTGATTCAAGTTTTAATCGTGTCAGCTTGAGACAAGGGAGGGCTTAAAAGGCTAGCATAGAAGTGACTCCAGTACTGTGTCTTGCTTGTCTCAGTATTGTGTCTTGCTTGTCTCACTCAGGAACCACGGCTGAGGAGCTTATGCACGGGGTCGAGAAGTTGAGTGGTGGAGCTGTTGGCGGAAGGTTCTTTCACTTCTGGCCACCACGTAAAGTCAAGCTGTTGCAGTGGCTGGCGTATTGGATGAAGAGAGGTATACTGGTTATGATCCATGGATTTTGTAACAAGCTGGAAAGAAAAGATACATTTTTATTCATTTATTTTATATACTCGTTTTCCTAATTTTATTTATTTATGATGGTTTTTAGCTGACTCATTCATGCTTTTGTTTTTTTCTTAATTTACACCACGTATACACTTTTTAGATTGTTCATTCGGCACTAGATAGATAAATTGTGTTTATGGATGTGCACACCACGTAAATACTGTTAATTGTTTATGGATGTGCACACCACGTAAATACTGTTAATATTGTTCATTCAGTACTAGATATATTAATTGTGTTTTTGGCTGTGCACACCACGTACATACAGTTTAGATTGTTCATTCTGTACTAGATAGATTAATTATGTTAATGGCTATTCACACCACATATATACTTTTTAGATTGTTCATTCTGTACTAGATGGATTAATTGCTCTTATGTCTGTGTGTAGATCCGCTTTCTTATAAACTCTTTTCCTTGGCTCACTTTGATCAGGTGCCATCCCCATGGCCACACTAAATCTACAGCAAGGTCCCCACTCTCTGTGGCAGGTTCCTGATTCTTGGCACCATCAGATGGTCTACGGTGTCAGTCACCAAGGTAAAAACAACTGTTGAAATACTGGGAAACCTCATTATGATTGCTTTGTATGACATTATAAAATCTTAACATTTTATTTTTTAAAATGACATTTTGAACTAGAAAAATTCGTATGAATATATGTAATTTATGGGAGCCATACCATGACCCCTTTATATCTGAATTGATGTTGTAGTGGTGCGTGTTATTGTGACTTTCCATTGTTACTTCTCTGTGTAATGCATACCCATACCTGGATAAATCACTTAATATTTTCTGCCGATATCTCTATTCAATGGATTGGTTTACTTCAGATATCTAATCAATCGATTGGTTTACCTCAAATATCTCTATCAATCAATTGGTTTGACTTCAGATCTCTCGAATCAATTGATAAGTTTACTTCAGATCTCTCTAATTAATCTCACATCTCTCTAATCAACCCATTGGTTTACTTCAGGCCTCTACTTGACCAACCCTTTGGAGATTGTGTCGGAGAGGTCAGCCATGAAGCAGCTGTGCAGTGATTCTGTCCTTATGGTCAGGAGACAAGATATTATTTCTAGATTCAGGGAAACAACTAATTTGGGTCAGCTGTTCAGCCACCCGGACCCGCGGTGGAGGACCATGAATGTTTTAGGTAAGGTGTCTTTGTATGAAACTGGAGCCAGGGGTGGCCTGGGCCGCCGGGACACTGGGAAGATTCCCGATGGGCCGCCAGGACCGGTGGTATAATAATAATTAATAACTAATATGCGGTGATATTAGGGGCCACTTTTTTTTTTTTCCCGGGCCGCTTGAACTCCCCAGTCCACCCCTGACTGGAGCCGTGTTCTGACACATTTGTCCCCATTAATCAACTTAAGTGTCTTTCGGGACCCAATAGACTTTAAAGATTACAATAAATGATTCATTACATATTTAAGATATTATCAACTTTATAAGACTAATTGTTTCATTCCTGATATTGTCTTGTTGTACCCAGATTGATGTAATGTTATCACAAGGCTGATAGATGTAATGCAATTACTTTCAAAGGATAGGAAAACATAAGTAGTTTATAGTTTACAAAAATTAATACTGATCAGACTTATTTTGTATGTCTTTGTGGGCTCACGTGTAGTGTGTTCTGTCTGTAACCCTCCACTGCTGTACACAGTGGTGTGTTCTGTCTCTAACCCTCCACTGCTGTACACAGTGGTGTGTTCTGTCTCTAACCCTCTGTACACAGTGGTGTGTTCTGTCTCTAACCCTCCACTGCTGTACACAGTAGTGTGTTCTGTCTCTCACCCTCCACTGCTGTACACAGTGGTGTGTTCTGTCTCTCACCCTCCCCTGCTGTACACAGTGGTGTGTTCTGTCTCTAACCCTCTGTACACAGTGGTGTGTTCTGTTTCTAATGCTCCACTGCTGTACACAGTGGTGTGTTCTGTCTCTCACCCTCCACTGCTGTACACAGTAGTGTGTTCTGTCTCTAACCCTCCACTGCTGTACACAGTGGTGTGTTCTGTCTCTCACCCTCCACTGCTGTACACAGTAGTGTGTTCTGTCTCTAACCCTCCACTGCTGTACACAGTGGTGTGTTCTGTCTCTCACCCTCCACTGCTGTACACAGTAGTGTGTTCTGTCTCTAACCCTCCACTGCTGTACACAGTGGTGTGTTCTGTCTCTCACCCTCCACTGCTGTACACAGTAGTGTGTTCTGTCTCTAACCCTCCACTGCTGTACACAGTGGTGTGTTCTGTCTCTCACCCTCCACTGCTGTACACAGTAGTGTGTTCTGTCTCTAACCCTCCACTGCTGTACACAGTAGTGTGTTCTGTCTCTAACCCTCCACTGCTGTACACAGTAGTGTGTTCTGTCTCTAACCCTCCACTGCTGTACACAGTAGTGTGTTCTGTCTCTCACCCTACACTGATGTAAACGGTGGATTTTTATTAACAAATAGTTTGTGTTTGTTCCAATGAATAATGTTCCCGTGTTTGTGGTCCCAGGCCAGGTTGTGAATGTGCTGAGAGAGTTCAACATGCCCAGCATGCCCGGGTACAGGCTGCAGGTCACCTCTCACGTCACCATACCAGCTTCCTACAAGGCGGGCGTAACGCTGTTCATGCGCAAGGACAAATCCTCGTGGACCACTCTGATGAACGCACCAGAGATCCCACTAGAGCAGTGATTCAGGAATGGGACCAGTGGCATGGCTCAGTTGTTGTATGATGGCTTCTGAAACGGAAGACTTTGAGCATGATTATTTCAGGGTGGGAAATAAATCATTGTTCATCAAAGGATTATTTGGAGTTCAGCAAGAGCTTTCACCATCAGCTATGGTGTCACCATCAGCTATGGTGTCACCTAATGTCAAGGAGGCAAAATGGTTTCCCTTTTGACTTGTGAAATCAAGGATATTTTTTAGTCAAAACACTAGTCATTTGAATAGAGAACTGTTGATTGCAAGTTTGGAGAGTTCTCACTTTGTGAGAGAAACACATTTGTTTGGGGGCATCTGAGACAACACACGGATCAGTGTCATAGAAAGGCATTGTGATAGAAATCCAAGAACTTATATGATATTATGGAAAGTTTCAGTATGATGGATTTGTGCTTAATACTATTACAGACCTGTTTACTCTTACGATTTTAGCGTACAATGTACGATTTTGAGGTGTAAACATTATATACCGTATGTTTATTTTTTACTTTAAATATAAGGTATTGAACGATTTTGTGATGATATTGTACGATTTTAAGAGTTTGAGGGTAGACAGGTCTGCTGTTAATACTTAATACCATAGTTGGTTGGGAAGGGATCAGTTAGATCAGTGGTTTTCAACCTGTGGGTGGCGACCCCTTTGGGGGCCGCACGACCCTTTCCCAGGGGTCGCCTAAGACAGTTATGCTCTACAGTTATGAAGTAGCAACGAAGTTAATTTTGTGGCTGGGGGTCGCCACGACATGAGGAACTGTATTAAAGGGTCGCGGCATTGGGAAGGCTTAGAAGCACTGAGTTAGATGATGATTTCCAGCAAGTTTTAAAGAAAACAATATGGTAGAGTTTTGATGACGAGAAGCTCCCATGTTTAATCCACCAGTGTTTTTTTTAACAGACATTTTCTTTTAATGGACGGTAAAATTATGTTACAATTTTGGCTGACTTTTTTTAATGACAGTAACACAGCCTGAGTGATTATTTCAATCGACAGTAACACAGCCTGAGTGATTATGTCAATCGACAGTAACACAGCAGGGATTATTATAATCCTTTCAATGCTTGACATTAACCTTGCTTGCAATAATGAAATTTTAGCTTTAACTTTCTATTTATTTTCAGCTACGTACTAACTGCTACCAAACTTGGGCTCAGTTGGTTTAGATCAGCGGCTCTCAACCTGTGGTTCACGACCCCTCTGGGGGTCAAATGACCCTTTCACCATGGTCGCATAAGACCATCGGAAAACACAAATGCTCTATAGTTTTGAAGTAGCAATAAAAATAATTTTATGTTTGGGGGGTCACCACAAGATGTGGAACTGTATTAAAGGGTTGCGGCATAAGGAGGGTTGAGAACGACTGTTATAGATGGTCAATATTCAATTGAATGCTGGACGTAAGTGTGGACAGGTTGGGTTGTAAGTGTGGACAGGTTGGCTTATAAACAAATGTGGGCAAAGTCAGGCACAATGTTTTCTGCCCCAGAAGATCTAGTTTACAATTGGCCCCTTAAATTTTAAGGTTGAGATTGTTGAGGGTAATTACTTACCCGTCATAATTCTTGACTAATTCTTAATGCATCAGCACAATCCACAAGACTTATCTCTGTCCAGCAAAGTTACAAATGATTTAGTAGAAAAACCATTGATGAGCCACAACTCTGTTCAAAGAAAAGCTTTTATTACATCCTAATGTATTCTCAATCAACTAAAGTCTTTGGTTAAAAAAACCTCTGATTGCAGACAGATGAAGCCAAAAATAATTGTAACATAACTGACCATGAATATATTGTTATAGATAAATAATATTTATATAATTTCATATACCATTTCTCCATTTCCCCTTCCCCCCCCCCCCCCCCCCCCCCCCCTCTCTTCAAAGTCAGCATGCCATGAAGGTTGTGACTGACATTATTCATTATTTTTTATTTAATTTATTTTGCATGGCACTGAAAATTGTGAACTGTTGACACCTGGATTATGAAGATTGACATTGATCTTTATGAAATTTTGCTTTGTAAATAAATAAACACAATTTTTTTAAGCCATCAAAACTCCAGACGACATATTACTTTCATTCTTTCTTATCTCGCAGAAGGTCAAGGTCTCTCCATTCTTGTCAAAATTTAATAAAACTGGTGCCAAAAGAATTTATTTATTTTACATTATCATTTGTTTTGACATCATATTACCTGGCAGTTACACTTTTGAACAAATACGTTAGAAACCGAAATGTATGGGCAGCTATCTCAAGAGTCATGCAATTTTATACCCAGTACGTTATTCTACCTACATTACCGTACTTAAAATGGGATTTGCAGCTTCTGTTACAAACGATTCTCCCTAACAGCCTGGATAGCTAATCCATCATCCAGCTCAAGTTTTAATTTTAGAGAAAGCTGTTTTGCATCCATTCATGCCCTTGGGGGGGCAATTGGTGTCTTCTAGTTCACTATGTTTGACTAAGAAAATTCACATAGAAGGTCAATTTGCTTTTATCAACTCCAGAATATAGTAAGATTGTTAGAATTGGAATCATTTCATGTCTCCATAATTAAGGCTAAGTGGATTATGAAGTTTAAAACTGACTTTTGTCTTAATAACTGTTGGAGCTTTACCAAATACGGTACATGACCACTGGTCAAAGATCAGGGAGGCACTGAAAATATTATCATTTACTCTGTACATGTTCAAGCACTTAAGGATTTGTTGGAAAATGACGAGTTCTTCCCCTCTGTGACCATCACAAAATGAGACGCCTGCAGACATGACAGGTAATCATGTGTGGATTATGCAATCATAGCAGCATTAAATTGTGGAAAGCCTACTGTTGCTGTCAGTTAAGTGATGGTAGTTGGATCAAGTTGGCCTACACATGAAATGTACCATCATATGCACCATCATAATAGTAGCAGTGTGTACTGGATTAATTTGCATAGCTGTTTGGTTTACAAAGAGAGCTGCATTTTCTGTTACACAAAAGCCTGGGTAGTCTTCTCTTGGACGAATTGTGGAGGTTTTCATCCAATGTGAGCTACTTTTTTTTACATTTTTATTTAATTTCAATTGGAAATTAATCAGCCATTCTATTTTTCAAAGAGAAAAAAAACAACAAAACAAAAGAATGAAGTCATCCTAGTGGCACTGATGTCTACTTGTGAAAACAGCTTTCTTTTAAATCCACCCCCTCCCGCCCCCCCCCCCCCCCCTTCCCAATTTTTCTAATTCAATTATTTCAGGAGGAACCATTAAAAAAAAAACTATGTAATGTTAGCTGAGCTAATTTCAACTAATTGGGGGGGGGGGGGGGGGAGAAATACACCAACCTTTGTAAAAGTTTGTTGAACATGTTAGTGACTGTAACTCACTCTACCGGGAGATGTACACTGACCATTGCAGTGATTTGTCTGACATATTGTTAGGGACAGAGCCCCACCAAAAAACTAACAGTGAAAACAACTTGTCAATATTTTCTCCATCATTCTAATAATAGTTTGAACATCAACCCCTTGAAAACATAGTTTTTCTTATAAACCCTTTATATTACGCATTTTTGTTTGCATTTATAGCGTTGTACGTGATCTATCATTTATTAAGAAGCGGTTATGTAAATGGGTAAACTTCTGGTGAAAACGTGTTTCATATTTTCATATTTCCTTCATTTTCCTCATTCAAAAATACATTTTATTTTTACTGCGATGGCTTTTGTTGAGGGAGTGAAGCCAGAATTTTTTTTTTATAATGGGTTAAACTGTATTACCTTTCTTGACTCTTCGGCATCAAGAAGTGCTATGAAAAACAGATTTTTTTGGGGGGTCAGGCTGAAAATTTGATAGAATGTGTAGTCATCGGCAATGAGCCTAAGTGCCAAGTTTCGGCTCGATAGGATGTTGGGTCAATTAGCCATCCGAAGATTTTGCCACAAAGAAACGCATGATCAAAAGCAAGGTTAAGGTAAAGGATTTTAAAAATTAAATCATTTTGTAGTGATTTTTCCGGGTCATTTCCCTTCATCTTGCATTTTTTTAAAAAATAATTTTATTCACACTTAAGTTCTTTGACTTCATCAAAGTTATTTTAACTTTACCAGGAATTAAATGTTTTTAATCTTAGCTCAAAACTACATTATCTGAGAGGGGTGAAAAATAACTTATGGGAGTGTTGACCTTTTCTTTTGTTCTTCTCCATGGCTGTGTAGCACATTGCTCCATGGCTGTGTAGCACATTGCTCCATGGCTGTGTAGCACATTGCTCCATGGCTGTGTAGCACATTGCTCCATGGCTGTGTAGCACATTGCTCCATGGCTGTGTAGCACATTGCTCCATGGCTGTGTAGCACATTGCTCCATGGCTGTGTAGCACATTGCTCCATGGCTGTGTAGCACATTGCTCCATGGCTGTGTAGCACATTGCTCCATGGCTGTGTAGCACATTGCTCCATGGCTGTGTAGCACATTGCTCCATGGCTGTGTAGCACATTGCTCCATGGCTGTGTAGCACATTGCTCCATGGCTGTGTAGCACATTGCTCCATGGCTGTGTAGTTTTAGTAAATTGTTACCAAGACTGAATCAGCTGCCCTGAATATATGGTTGTGGCTTATCTATAAAATTAAAATACTCATGTTTGTTTTCCATTATGCCCTTGCAGATGTGCTTGAAATTGTTTGTCTTCTGTGTAGAGCCTGATGAACGTTGTGTAATGAAACAGTGGTCTGATTGGACAAGAATACAATGTTCTGATTGGACGAGGCCATTAGATGCATAATGTGGATATATGTTTTAGATTGTTTGGGTTAATAAGTGAAAAGAAATATCTGTAGCTATCATTTTTTGGGGGTCATCTACAAGTGGTATGTTACCTGTGTATGTTTTCAGACACTACAACTTTGCATATCAAAATGCTTTAATTCAACAGAACCTATACAATTAAAAAAAAACATTCTGACGTGCCCTGTATTTAAGAAATGC